ATATTTAAACGAATATTTATTATAAATTTTAAGTAATTACCTCAGCAGGAAATAATGATCATAGTCTCTTTGGAGGATTAATACAATTTTCAGGTTAGAATTAATTTCGTTTAAGAAATTTCTAGAGCAGTGATAGTTACAGAAGAATTCAATTACATTTTGAATTTTTTCTTTTTTCCTCCTTTTTTTTCTTTTTTTCTTTCTCAAAGCACAAAAATATCTTTGTCGGCCCAATTGAAAGTATTCTATTTCCCCGATCATTACGAGTCCACTAATAACCGAGAGATCAAGAAATATGTTAAGATATATATAATTAAATTAATTTACCACTTCCATCGTATTTTAATAAGTGAAGCAATGCCTGTTCAGGCTTAAATATCGAAATTAAAATCGTACGGAAAGGAAATGATATTTTACGGGTAGTAATTATCGTGCTTAGTTTGCTCTGCAATCTGTTTCATAATCGTCCAAAGTGAATAATAGTTGTTGCATAATCGTTAACCGACCCAGCTCGATTATTATCCGCTAACGAATTCCCCTGCAATTCTTACTGTCATCCAGTGACAGCGATCGCTATTATCCGCTAACGATTTCGATTTTAATTCACCATATCTGTTAACGAACTGTCGGTGGAATGAATTCGTTAACTTTAACGCAATTCCATTTATTGGAGAGAAATTAAATTTTTTTGCGAATTTTTTCTTCTCTGATGAAAGACACGATGCGAAAGGTTAATCGAAATCTATTAAGGATTCGTTGCATGCAGAGCGTTGATAAATCGAATATACCTTTGAAAAGTTGTTCTTAAAGAGCTTGTATTAAAATAAAGAAGAAAGTCGATGTGCAAAAATATCGATCCATTTATCAGAATGGAAGAAGAGACAGAGATAGATATTTTTGTATCAACCTTTATTTAATATATCTCATAACAATCCTTCTTCCATTAAATTCATTGCAAATAAATCACCAATGATGATAATAATCATTTTATATATAAAAGATCTCGATCTAGAGAGGCAACAAATGATTAAGAAATAAATGTAACGACACAAAAGTAATTATAAATATAATTCAAAGATCTCGAAAAAGAAAAAAAACAAAAAGAAAAAAAATTAAAATTATTACGATACACACCGATTTAATCAAGGTAATGATACGTTTACGATAATAAATATCGCGAGATGAAGAGGAACAAAACGTCTTGTGAGATGAGTTTCTATTAAATAAATCCAGGGAGAAAAAGCATTTTCTGATTATAATCGTGGAAATTTGTTCGGGGGTCTTTCAGAAACAGGGCAGATCTTTAACCCAAGAAATAACGATGATCCACATCAGTTCATATAGGGAAACTGGTAGTTACCAAAGGGTCTGGCCACAGATTGGCCGGATACCAGATATTTGTAGATATTAGTATCTCGTACTCGGGGTCATTAATATTGATTAGAGGTGTAATTAGATAACAAGCTAGATTAGGTTATTAGCTTCGGCATATTATACGTGGTGCACTTTCAACAAGATAGATTAACGATAGCTCATACTTCATCTAACCCAACATCTTACAATTTAACATTTTACCGTCTCTAATACCACTTTGTACCTTCCCTTAACCATCCTAATTTTTCTGATCGTTGTAACGTCTGTTTATTCTGATTTAACCTATCTTCATCTAATCTGATTCTTGGTTAATTGCGTGCAAACACTAAGCCTTATGCGTGTTATCAAAATTAAAAAAATTCAACAAGATTTATATCACAAATTTCATGAATTTTAATCCTCAACAAATATTTTTAAGTAATTTTAATTATTGTAATCACAAATGAATATTTATTTATGTTTTAGAAATGCATTTATATAATTAAGAGAAAAAACTACTACAAAGATGGAGTTTCTTTAAGGATGCAGACTCGAAGAATTCTTATTTAAAGATGAAGATTAAACGAGGATATAAAAGGAGAACTCGATGGAACTATTGAAAGGAGGAAAGAATTTCGATCATCATGTGAGAAACAATTTAAAATGGCAAATGATCAAAGATTGGAGGCCGCGTGTATGGACATGCATGGCCAGATGCGCGTTCGATGTATCATCGGCAAGTTGCACAATTTACCGCGGCTCTCGAGGCCCAAGATGGCGCGAACATGGCTATAAGAGAGAAATTGAGAGTTTAATATTTATGAATGGTTAAGAGGAGCAAGGCAACTTTGTATTGCCTTTTTATTATACAGCGTGTTGTTCGATACTGATGTAGCAATTCAGACTTGTTCCTTTTTTTATACTATAATCTTGTATTTCAAAAATTTTCGAAATTTCAACTAATAAAACGCAATCCACGAATATGACTTTTGTTAAATATTTTTTTTAAATTTAAAAAATTTTTTGAATTACGAATATTTAAAAATAATTCGCCAATTTTGTAAATTATAATTGTAAATATTTGCAAAACAGAGTTTATCGTTTAACAATGTTGTCCTCGATTTTACAATGTATTTTAAGAAGCATGGAGAAGAAAGCAATGTACGCGAGTCTTGTTATGTAATGTTTTCTCTGAAACATTTATCTTCGTCCAACCAGGGTGGTCGTAAGTGAAAAGAATTAATTGCATCGTTTTATGTTCGCTGTTATGTCAAAAAGATATTTCAACATGCATATTTATTAAAAAGAAAGAGAATATATATAATAAGAGAGAAAGAGAGAGAGATATTTAAAATATAATTTATAATTTGGTGGTAAAATTAATTTTGTCTGTGTGGAATAATATTTTGTTCTTTTAATTATCAAAAATATAGATGAAATCTTGGCAAAATTAATATTAACATTTATCATATTATGTAAAGACTATAAGTTATTAATTATTAACATTATGTGACTATTAATTAAGTAACTAGTATCCTGATACTTGTACATTTATCTATTTATAGAATATATTTTGTTAATTTTTGATGTAAAAGTTATATATGAAACTAAGAAGATTTAAAAACTATCAAATTGCTTGAAAATAATAGATATAGATGATTTAATATTAAAAAATACAATAAAGTTGTACAAATTGTTAAAATTTTATTTTGAATAATTTATAACTATCCTTCTCTAGGCACATACCTCAATGCAACATTGGAGAAGACGATAGACTGGGTGGATTGCCGTTGCACCTGGAGTGCAAGCGTACTCCTTAACCTTGGATTAATTTATGCACCGACTTCGACTTATTTCTGCAAGAAACGCGATAAGATGATACCGGTAAAACTTTCAAAACAGTCGTCATATTGTTGCACGACGTTTGGATCATACATATTTCACATAAGTATATCTTATGCAAATAGATATCCATTTTTGAAAATGCATTTTATTGCTTGTGCATGTTTCAAAGACGTTCACATATATATAGCAAGGATATAGAAAATCCAAATCAATATGTTTTTTTTAAAAAAGATACTATAGAAAAAAAGGAATAATATTATGGAAAAATTCTAACAATCAACCACGAAGAATTCCTTTTTATTTTATAAATTATAGTTAATATATTCATGAACATTCTAATTAATAAAGATCTTTATTACCAACAGAAAAATTTATAAATTATTAATGTATTATCAATCTTGAATTACTTTTTTCTTAATTTCAATAAATGCACAAACCTTTATTATACTCTATACTAATTTATTCATACTCAATTATCCTTTTTTCACGTAATTCAATCACGCACACTTAACACAACAATTAAATCAACTCCGGCACAAATTCAGATTCCAAATCCCTCGTGAAATTACACGATGAAATTACAACAAAAAACGATCGCTTAACAACCTAACCTAAAACGCCGGTATCTCACGGTCGCCAGGTTCATCGACTCAACCACCATCCCCCGTCCCCGGGCTGTCGCGTTAAAAGCGTGCAGCCGTGATAAAAATCATCATTGTTTCCCGTAGGCGAGGGCCTCGCCTCGTTTCAATTCTATCCGCAAGAAGAGAAAGAAACGAGGCTCGAAAGTAGTGGCTCTTAGAAGAGTAACTTATCAGCCCGGCCGCGATAGAGGCTTTTTGCGAGGATAGGGGGCGCGTTAAAGCAGAAAACAAAGTAGCCACACCGTGAAATGACTCACGTATTTGGTATGCATTCCCTCTCTCTCTTTCTCTTTCCCTCTCCTTCTCTCTGTTAAAGTAACACTTAGCAAGTTTAAATGTGTGCACGTGTAATAGTGGCGCGCGAAGGCCAACGTAAATCTGTGTTTCGACGTTTATTCCGTTGCAAAGCGTTAATTTCTGCGGGTTACCGCGCCACGTCGTGACGGTGCGCCCTTAAATGGCGAATGATTCTTGGTTTCGCGCGCACCATCCAATTGTTTGCATTGTTAAATATTAATAATAACGATCGAGGCTTTGGACCAAGTGTTGCGCAATTTACGAGCTAGGAACGAATACAAGGCCGCATCGCCTGCAGCCTTGGACTAACGAAGTTGGTGGAGCTGGTGAACCAGTACCAGGGCTGTAAAAAAAAGCACGGGGACCACACGGGAGGCTTCTGCTTCTTGCGACGGAGACGAGGTTTCGAGAGGAAAGGTTTGAACGTGGATTGCACGTTTCGAGTATGGACGGCTTCGAGGTTTTTTTAGATTTTCCACTTGAGGAGGAGGAGGAAACTGGATGTTTAATTAAGGGATTTCGATGAGAAAGTTGGATCTGGAATGATGGTAAGAAATTGTTGATGATGTTGAATTTAAAATGATTGAAAGAATTGAAAGGAAGTTGTTTACAGAGATTAACAGAGGGTTCAAGTTTCTCATTTTAAACTTTTTTTTTTTTTGGAAACTGGAGTATAATGTTAATTGAAAGGATTTCGATGTGAAACGATGGATGATGGATAATAAGATGAAGAAAATGATAAGATGGATATTGAAACATTATAAAAAGATGGATGGAAGAATTTTTTGATTGGTATTGAATTTTTTTTTGCAATTATTGTAATAATTTAATTTCTTGCTTAAGACGAAACGCGTATTTTTTTTTTATTTAACTTATAAGGAAATGATTTATTCTGATGGATATATGATTGGATATAGGAATCGCAAGAAACAGAGGTTCCGTTGTCACGCTAGAAACCCCATGGTGGCGAGAACTAGAAGTACCGCTACGAATATAACTCGCTTCCCGCTTGTCCCGTCCCTGTTACAGAGAGTAAATTGGCAAGTGTTTTTAAATACCTAATAATTATAGATTATAAAAGAGTAGAATGTGTCACGAGAGAGATTTTTAATTGATAAATTATAAAACTCTATAAGTTAATTATTGCCAAGTTAATAAGTAAGTAAGATACGAAAGCATCCCTATAATTTTTCAAACTGTGAATTGAATTCTATCTCGTTCTTCAATCAACACGCTATGGTCGAAAGCAAACAAATTTTCCTGTCATCGACAATAATTATTTCCTAATTTAAAATAATTTCATTAACGGTTATCGACAATATCGTTTTGATTGAGCCAACTTTAGATTATTTCTAATCGTTCGAATCAAGCCCAACATCTTTCCTCCAATAATTCCTAACCGCAATAAAAATCAAGACGATAACGAGATTCACGCTTCCAATTCATTTAAACATATCGAACAAACGAAATAAAGCAATAACGAAGGAAGGGGGGGAAAAAAGGACGAAAAGAAAAATCGAAAGAAAATAGCAACGAGTAAAAAATAGCACGGGATAAAAAGCAGAGGGGAAAACGGCGTGGACAAGCGGCGGACGGCAATATGGCGGCGGAAAAATTGAGCCATCTGGCGGACGAAACGGAAATGAGGATCAAAACCGCGATTCTCCGGTCTCGAAACGCGGAATGGCAAGTTTCTTTATGCAGGGTGTGATCGAGGTGTCCGCAATGACGAATAATGCTCAGCGCGCAAATCAACCGAGTGAAAAAGAGCGTGCAACCGAGAGACAAGAAGTCGCGCCTGTGACCGCGGCCGCGTACGAGCATTGAATAACGCCATGCCAGAACGAAGAGGATCGTTTTTGCGGCGTCATTGACATTTTCATTAAGTCGCTTCCCTTTACAGAGGCTCATGATTATTTATAGGTCGATTGATGATGATAATGACCACCGTGGCGCGTCTCGAACGATCCTTTTTTTTTTTTCCTTTTTCCTTCTCAATGCGGACCAAAGTGATTGAGAGTCAGCGCGTGTTTCATTGGTAGATGGCATGACGATTCGACTGATGAGGAATGATGTTGTTGGAGAAGAAGAACAATGAAGAGAGTTATTTTTAAGGATACCGATTTTAAAATTGTAAACAAGTTGCCATTCAGTCAAGAAGAAATTAATTGGAATTGGATTTCATTCCCCTATACGGCTTCCTACGACATTCGATTATTGTAGTAAGTAAAAGAAGGAAATTCTATGTTTATAATGTTATAACTTGATTTATAAAAATATTGAAATGTTAGGAATACATTCAAAAATTTATCATTACGCGGATATGTTATGTGTTATGTGTTAATAAAACAAATACTATACCAGAAAAGAAGGAACGAGTCGTGTTCCTGGCATCGCCACGAAAATTATTACCATTCTCTTTTCGACATTGCACATTCCTTGTAATAACATGTGGTACATCCATAACATTGTTGCAAAACAAGGTCGACACTGTACCACTTCTGGATGGGATTGCCTTTTAACATGGAGTAGGGCTGCGTTCCGTAACGTCGCCGTCAACGATGCAATCAAGTCTTAAGCGTGCAAATGCGACGTGCAAACAAACTGGAACGGCAATTATTTACGTAAGCATCGGGATCGTGGGATCTGTTTGGAATGACACGTCGTTAGGCGGCAGGATCGATATTCTAGTTCCTGAAGAATTATTACTGGTCATCCTTGAGGCTAGCCGAGGGATCTTTTGCAAGGACGGATTGACAAGTAGGTTTCGATCAATCATCTCGATCATTTTTGATAATTGCAACCTGTGAACGATACATTAGACGTTGGTACGAGGCAATTAGCGAATAGGATTGATGGAGTTGCACTAAAAAACTTTTTCATCTTATATTTAAATAAAAAGAAAGAAAATCTTATTTCATAGTTTTATAAAAATTAGATAATATACTTTTTTCAGTATAGCTTTAATTATTTTGAATCAAAGAATATACAAAAGTGTATTGTTTTAAATTTTTCTGAAGGAGAATTGTATTCGAATTGAATTTTGAGAAGGGATGATTCATGGAACCTTGGAATTACGAAATTAATTAATCATTGAAAAAAAAAAATAAATAAAATTATTATGAAAATAATAAACGATTTAAACACGAACCCACCTATCCAATTAATACATTAAAAATACACTTTCCTTTTTCTACTCTTAGACTTGTCCCATTCATCAGACTGAGAAAATAACTGGAAACATTTAAAGCTAAGCCTTTCTTCATTTCTTGCAAGAACCCCTAGGAACATAAATAAATCCCTTCGTACCTTCAACAGTTGTTAATTATTTGCATTACCATCCGTCCATACTTTATATTATTCCACTGATGCTGCCGTGCCATCCGAAACTTAATTAAATGCATTCAATTTGTTACACGTACAGGATTATTGACGGAATACTATTGCGTGTAACTGCATGGCTTCAAGGAGTAAAGGCGCTGACCTTCGGAAGGTCATCCGTCTCGAAGCGATAGACGATATGCTTCCGTGTGCCAGCAATGGCCGCACTACACTCGCCACGAGGAATATATTGACCCTGCGGGTGAATAAAATCATTATTCCTCGGTTGTTTGACGGCCAGTTAGTTGATAGAAGCGATTAAGTTGTGAAATTATTTCGAGAAGGTGTTTCGCTGAATTTATGAATCAATGAGTTATTGATAATGTTACTTATTCCTGGATGAAGAATGATATCGTTTGAGAATATATGAAGCTCTTTTTTTTTTCTTTTTCTCTTTTTCAGAAGATAATAACGTTTTTAATATTTATAGGTAATAAATGTAAAGTAATGATACTTCATTTATTATTTCGTTTTTATCTTTTTATCGTATTAAAGATTGTCAAAGGTGTGCAATTTGACATTGAACGCTTGTTTGGAGAAAATGATCGAGGAAGAAATTGTCGCGATGACTATCAATGCTTTTAAAATTATTGGAAAAATTTTTCCCTTTCGCGAGAAAAATTCAAATTTTAAACGCGATTAAATTAATAAGGTGCCAAAATTTCAAATTTTAAAATAAAAAAATTCTCCAAATAAAAAAAGATTTCTAATGATATTAACAAAACAATGAAGATCTAATCTGTTCTTGACTACTCTAAATCATAATCTGAAATAATATATTATTCCTAATCTAAAACAATTTCGATCATTTATAAATTAATATTCATTAAAATTTCAATTGCAATGAACAAGGTAAGAAATTTTTTTATAAGAATGATAAGTCTGATGGTGGATGAGAATCACTGGGTTAAGGCCTGTTCACGCGTGTATGCGGTAAGAGTACACGCATGTATTCGCGTACTCGGCTCGTGAGCCGTGTACAAAGTCGGGGAAGTACGTACGGCATGTTTGATGACACTCGTCCCTTTGAGCGGCGCGGAAAAACCGACAGGCCTGCTCCGTCGCTCAGGATGTCACGCAAGTTAACACGCTTTGATAACGTCCGCATTAGCACGTTCAACCGGACGTGAATCGTTGATGATTAACGCCGGTTTCGCGCCAACGAAGATTAGAGATTCGCGGAAACTTTCACTCGAATGGCCAAGCGATAACGAAGCATATGCAGGTATGCGTATAGTAATTAATGCGATGTGATTCTTGGATCGATCGACGTGAGTCGAGGATCACTGGTAATAAATTCTTTCGTTGGTTTCGAAGATAAAATTCTGTGAAGGTATTTGAAGCGTTTAAATGATAATTTTAAAAATAAATAGAAGAAAAGTTGATGTGATAATTGAAAAACCGTGGGAAAATATCAAATTATCATAAATAAGGATTTGATACTATGATACATTTCATAATATCGCAATAAATAGTAAGATTAAGAGTAAAATAATTAGGAAAAATTAAAGGTGAATAAAATAATTAATAAGAAAATAAATATAAGAGTTCATCATAAAAGAAAGTAACATACCCATTACAAAACATCATTATTTCTCTCAAAGAGTTGATTCATAAAATGTATTCATAAAAATTGTAATGCTTCATAAGTATTTTATATCCGTTTAATCCTCATCTTTATTCACCTTCACTTCAAAACCGTCACTAAAAATACGTTCAATGTTAATAAACTTCACATCAATAACGATCGAAATAAAAATCAAGGGAAATAAAACATAGTATTAGCCACTATTCGCATCTTTCATCGATCAAAAATACCTTAAAACAACAACGTGTCGAGAGAACATAACCTAACAATACATACAATCATCAGGCGTTCATCGAATCTTTCATGAGATATTCACGCTATGCAATAAAGTATATCTCGCAACACGTTTCCTCGTTGAAAGATTTACAAAGAATAAAAAGGTAAGAAAGAAAAAACTTTGAAAAAATGTGAGAAAACCTACCAGGGTGTGACTCGAGTCAAAGGCAAACAATCACGTCCACGTATCCTTAGCACAATGCCAGTCGCGATTCGAGACGAGGCACAATAAGGCATAATTCAAAATGAAGATCCACGATGCGGTGTGGTATATAAGAGTGTCGATGTTTCTCTCTGTTCCATCCATGACCTCGACAACACGCTCGCAAAAGAAACGTATTAATAGGCCGGCGGCACGCAATGAACACTGTCGCTGCCCGTCGTTGTAATCAGCATCGTGGCGAGTCAATAATCATTCCGTGACCGGTAATTACGGGGATGACAATGACGGTCGAGTAACAATTTCTCGTCTAAACACTGCCATCAATATTCCCAGCGTTCCAAAGTAATTAGCAGGTGTTGGAACGTGAAAGCGTTTTCGACACCATGTTGACTATGTGCGCGCATGCGCGAATGCGTTTGTATAATAGAGGCAAATAATTACGAGGGAAATTTGAAAGAGGAAGTGATGAAACGGTGCATTAGATACATTTATACTATATGTACGTGTAATAAAATAAAAGTTAAAAAGAAAAAGAAATTAATTGTAAAACAATATTTATACAAAAAATTTTATAATAATTTTTAATTTCTAGAAGAGAATAAGGATTGTTAGAAAATTTTTCGATCACTCGGCGCTAATACACGTTTTGAAACAGTATCGGTGGCGGTGAAGCATTGCACAACGATCAATCGTATTGCATTATTGCTTGCATACCGATACGCAGTTGCTCGTTTTTCCGAGAAACAGACACGTTCGATGAATAGAGTACAAGGAAACCTTGTATTGCAATGCCCAAGCGTATCGCTGACATCATGAATATTAATAATCCGCTAACGGTACCTGTTTTTGCTATCATGGGCGGGATATATTCACGCATTATTGTCCATCTAAATCTTGATCGAATGGACTTGAAGACAAATTTTAATACTCTTGAATATTTTTTCTAAAATATCTCGAATGAGAATATGATTAATTATTTTAGAAGATCTTGATTGGTAGAAATTTTTCCCATTTTTTTCTATTCTCTCTGAAAGTTAAAAAAGAATTTGCATGATCAAATTTACATTATATAATATATTTAACGTTACATAAGCATGTTTCTAACGTTATCCAAATTTTACAGTTTGTAATTTACTCAACGTGATAAAAATTTCAACCAAAATTTTTTATAGAATAGAATTTTGCCATTTAATTGTATTTAAATGTTAAAAATTTTGATGATTTTTAAACATAAAACTCACTATTTTATTGAATATGAAATCTTACAATAGTTATAGAAATGTAACTAAATTAAATTATATAAATATAAAACGAACGAATCAAATAAAAAAATTATATATTAAGAATTTTCTCACAAGCCAGAAACTAATACTTTCACTGTTAATCAGTTAGAGAACGTAAGAGCAATTTATCCGAAGGCTGATGATATCCAACAGCATGTTGATGAAGGTCAAGATATAATGTAATCATTGGCAAGCTCGATAATTGTCCATACACATTGAAGATAAAAAAAACGATTTCTGAAAGCATATACTTATATTATAAACTTACGACTACGAAGTCGATATCGTAAACATCGCGTTGCATAGCGGTTCCTCGAGATTTCTGAAAAGTGGCACACCATATGTTCGAATAGCATCTGGTGAACAGGATTTGAGAACCGTTTAAAGATGTAAATATCAAATTATATATGTAGCGACACGATTAAATTAATATTAAATTACAGAGAAGTAATTATGGTCAATAAGATATAATTGGAGAATTCTCTCTGTTATTATTAAATGTAATAACTTGTAAATCTTTTTTTTTTCTATTGTAATTACACGCATTTAAGAAAAAATAAGAAAATTACTAAAACTCGATGTCAACAAATCAAATTGATTAATAGATACTAATAATTAATAATATTTTAATATTGAAAAAAATAATTACAATGATGAAAGATCAAATTAATATAAATCTAAAAATATGTTTATATTTTTTAAAATATCGTTAAATCATAAGTATAATTGCGTTAACAAATATAAAAATAGTCATTCAAATATAACTAATAATAATTTCTTTTATAGAAATAATAGAAGAATAGAAAAATATGAGAGACAACGTTACGTTTGGATTAATCGAAATGGATTAAAACATGATATCTCATTATCCGTTGAAATGTATTTAGATTATGGCCCCGTTGTTTTAATCTCGATAAGTGCGAACTATGCAAATACATCGAAGCTTTCTCGGTTTCATCGCGAAATACTGAGTTGCGATACAGTAATTTATGTTAATTATACGGATAGGTTATATAATAGATAGTTGTTAATTAGACCGCGAACAAAGTGATTAAATCATGGTATTTCACATTAATAAGATGATGGATATAAGCTAATATTTAATGCTTATATTCGCGGATGAACAATGAATCTCACATAAATAATAGAGAACAGAGTCATAATACATATATCGATACTTAACGAATATTTTTATTAATCGTAATATTATTAATTACAATGAAATTATCTTGGATTTCTTACTGCGATCAATTCTTTTTTTCACACATTAATCTTAGTTAATAACACGATATTATTGTTATCAAAATTAATATTTATTGTTAATCCTTTGTAGATAAAATAGATCGATTATATAAATCTAATAGTTTTACTGTTCTAAGTTTTTCAAAACGTTTCAAAAAATTCTAGACTATTCATCGATAGAATTTTTCTAAAAGAAAAATTTTCAAATTTTTCGCATAATTGAGTTTCAAAATTTAATTTAAACTAAAAGATTTATTTATTTTATTTTTATTATAGATTTATGTTTACATACAAAATTATTATTAGCTATCTAGTTATTATTAGCTATCTATTTACAAGTTTTGCCACGCCTGTATAATTAATCGATTACGAAGTATGTAATTTTGAATAAAATATGCAGTAGCTTCTTTTTCTAAAACGCATTAATATTTAATTACCTACTTTTAATAAATGTATTGTATTAATGCACTATTAAATTTGCATCACTAAATTTGTGTGCAATACTTGCACATAAATATGATAAATTTAAATATACAATGACATAGCTAATTATTCATAATGAAATATCCGTTTAGAAAAATGAAGAAAAGAAATTATTTTGAGAATACATTTTCATATTTTATGATGTATAAAAGTATCGTAATGATTTTAATGATCTATCATCTTCTTTTAGTTATATTAGAAACGACTATATAACATTTCCCGATCTTGTGAAAAAGAAATTGTTGAAATATTGTTACTTTTTTTGAATATAATTATTATCAATTAAATATTATAAATTAATTTTATTATAATATTAAAACTAATGATAAATGATAAAAATATGATTAGATCAAAATATTTACAAATATTTCGTCAAAGCAAAAATACATAACCTATAAATTCTACGCTATTCTAATTCTAAGCTATTAGTTGAGTAAATAAAAATTATATATATATCCCATACATATTTATAAAAAATTTACAAGCTATTTAAGATTTATAAATAACTTGATAAATGATACACGAATCGTAATCTTTAGAAAAGATTGTTTAAATATTAAAAGAATATAAAGTGCAACCTACAAGAGAAAGTTAGAATCTGGCAAGCAAGTGCATATTTATACTGATGCCATAATGATTACCTGGGAATATAAATATGAATTCATGGAAACAGACGATGTATATTTACAAATAATATCATATCCCATTGTTTTACATGGAAATTCTATCATTCCCATTAAAGTGATACGCAAATGCAAAAATTTATGCAAAGTTCGAATTATATACTTCAAATTTAGTATTAAAACCACTATTCAACTTTTCACGTCACTTTCTTTCATTCCTTAAATCTTAAACAAAGTCTATTAAATCCCAAACACTTAGATATCACTCCACAAAAATCACTAATCTCTCATCTTCATCCAACTCCCCATCCATTCCTTAAACACATTCAAAATTACCATGTTACGCAACGTACAATACATCGCCGCGCGATCCTAACCTATTACGATTCAACCCGAACTATGCACTATATCGAGAGGAAAATCGATTAGAAGAATATCCTCGAAAGTTCACCGTTTTACTTAGCGGGAAATCTGGCGCGGAACCGGAAACAGAAATCAACGTAGGAAAAAGAAAAAGACCGAAAGGCAGGAGCAACGTTCATAGAAAGGGAGTGGAAAGACTCGACACTCAACGAAGGAGATATCCTCGTGAGTCGGTGTGTGCCCCCGAGTCTGCGCGATACAGTTTATTTGAAGCCGAGTTGAGGGTGGGGGTAACGGTCGGTCGTTCGTTGGCGCGTCCTCGCGGATCGCGGTTGAGCTTTAGTCGCACGATCTCGTCCGCTAGCGTCGGGCTGTTCTACGTCGAGTCTCGAAGCGTCTCGAATCGATCGATGGATCGATTGCGCTGTCGCGTCCCTCCTCCTGCCGCTCGATCCTTCGAGAAGTCGACCGATCGTGTTCAGTCTATCGTTGATCGTTGATCGATTAGTTCTGATCGTTGCTCGGTTCGTGTGGCGGAACAGAGGATTGTCGTCGGTGATAGAGAGGATTCGGGTGAAAGTTTTTCATCAAAACATCGTTTCGTTCTCTCTCGTGCGTGGTCATGCTCGTAACCGTAACGAGTTGTATGGTGCAGGTGAACCGCATGCGTGATAGAATCCGCGCATCCGTTCGATCCCGTGGCTCTTAAGAGGTTATACACACGCGTTTACGGGATTTTTGAGATTCTACCTATTGGGAAGGAGGCTGAGAGCGGTGAGAAAGGTGGGTGCAAAGATACAGGTGTTTCTTTTTCTTATTTGTTTTTTGTTTCTTTCCCTATTCCTCTTTTTTCTTTTTTTTCGTTCGATTTATTCGATGATCGTTTGACAAGGATTGGTGCATGAAGTGGCTACTGAAGTGTGTTATTGGAACGTTCGATGAAAACGAGATGGGATAGATGGTATTTGGCATCCATCTCGATAAATCGAGGAAACAATCGATCAATGTGTTGTTTCGCAATTCGTATCAAGGGATCGCATTATTTTGCCGTACTAGGCAATCTCGGACGAATTGATATTGGCTCAAAAGAGATATACTTGGTAAACATGAGCTACATAAAATGTTGACCGTGGGCAAATTGGTGTTATTCTTGTGGTCGTGAGAGCATTTATGCGAATGGCGGGAGTAAGGAAATCGAAGGAATCGAAGAAATTGTGTTGTGTAACTAGGTGAGAAAATTGTTCATGATCATTGGATAGAGTTTATAAAAAAATCGGTGTTATTTAGAAAAAATATATTTTAGAAAAAACATTTGTGATACTTTCAGTTGAATGGAATCTTTATAATTGAAAGTAAAAGTCTTATGTGGCTAATAATGAATAATGTAAATTATTCTAAATTTATTTGACTCTCTTTCACAAGAATTTATTAATTGATAATATTATTGACTTGACAGGTGACATGTTACAGAATTTTTCTACTACTTCATTTTAATTATATATAATTTATATATAAGAATTCCATCATATTTCTTCATTTTTTATATATATATAAAAAATATATATATATACATTATACATATCGCTATAATGTATAAAATATCATTTAACGTAAATAAAAACAATTTGAAATTTTCATTGAAAAAAATGTATAAAAACTACAACTTTAATCAGTGCAAATGAGAAAGATTATCGAAGGCATTCGCATTATGACGAGAATACTCTTTAAAAAAGAAAAAAAAAAATATACTTACTCCGGTTGGCAAAAGAAAAGTAAACAAGCTGCTCTATGTGTATATTTATACGGCGGCAAAAATGTTGCACGACGGCTTTTAACTTCTCAACCAGCCAGAACGAGTTAACTCGTCTTTTATGAGAAACGCTTGCGCAGCGAAGTTTGCACTTTTATAAGGATAACACTTTATCAAAGCCTGTTGACGAGTTTATTTGGAATTTTTTAGTGGTACGAGACGAGTTCGAGGCGATTTTTTGAAAAAACCAACATCGATAAATTAAAAAAAAATTTCGAATCGACTAATATTTTTTTCGTTTTAATAATATTATGCAAATGAAGAATTGTTTACTGTTTAATCGTTGGCCTATTGGCTCCCTGAGAATGCTGTTCATATGAATCATTCCATCTTGCAAGACCAATGGATTGAAAATTAATAGTTTCTTACATATAATTGACTTTGTAGGCGATTTATTCGTTTTATGAGTCGTAGATTATTTATTATCTGAAATTGAGAAGAGTATTTTTGCTAATACTCATATTCACACACGTATGCATTGTGAAATAATATAGGAGTGCATGGACAAATGAAAATTTATTCATTATGTTTAATAATTTTTTGCTACATATATATATATATCTTTTTACAAATTTTTTTTATTAAAAATTCTTACCTTTTAGAAAAATAATACAATATATTTTTATATAATTATTCATTTGAATGTAATTAAAGAAATTTCCTTTCAAGAAGTAGAATAGGTATTTTATATGAACTAGGTAGTTTATAATATAGATTTTTATCTATGTTAATCACATTCTAATAACTTGAATTTTAACACGGAAAAGATTCATCGCCATCATATCCAACTCGTAGTAAATTTTAAAATCCATTCCTTTCTATTTATACATTCTTAATGCTGGAACAACCAACATGTAAAACTGTTGTCGAATATTTTGGAAATTCCTAGGGAATTTCTAGAGTATCCTAGCGATTTCACATCTGTTTCTTAAACTCACACCAATTTATTTTTCCCCCAATATATAATACAGTTACAAGAAAACGAACAAAATTTAACATTTAAAATTTAAAATATTATTTAACTTAACTTAACTTAACTTTCTCCTTAATTGTTTTTTTTCCTTTGAAAAAATTGTTATTAAAAAAATATACCGCATATATACAAGAAACGAAAAGTGGAGAAACGAAAAAACTGGTGGAGATATCGAGCAAACAGGCGGTGAATTGCGAAGGAAGGGACGGGTAAACGCGCTAAAAGGCCGCAATCACGCCGGTGGTTTCGTTCTCACGGAACTCCGTTGCACAATATCAAACGCATCGCGATCATAAATTCAGATGGTCCGTGTCTAAAAATAACCGTGCAAACGTACATTTTTCTCTCTTTCCCCCCTCTCCCCTCCTTTCTCTCTTCTCGGCAGGCGCGCGAGCAAGCTCGTTAATTACGAATCGCAAGAAAGTAAGACGATGCAGGCCGACTTTCCTGCCGCTCTTAATTAAAATCAGCTCGGGCGTTCCGCGCGTGGAACCGCACGCAGACGCGTGCACCGCGTCGAATTACGTCAGGAGAGACACGGAGGAATATCCGCCACGCGAAAAACATCGAGCGTTTCCAGGACGACGTACGCCGTTAATGGATAAATTGCTAAATCTGGGACTTTCACTTGACTCGATCTATTATGCGCTTCGCGCGGAGAACCTATTTTCCATCGTCGACCTCGTTGATCGCTTATTTCATAGCGGTATATCGTTAACTTTATCATTATATGTACGAGAGGATTCAGATTTTCATTCGATTATTTTAATCTTTATTGAATTTGAGGAGTTGAGTTTTAAGAGACAATTTCTAGGGAATTCTAGATTACAACGATTTATTTTTTGGGTTGTTATGGGGATTTATTAACATTTTTTTGGTAAGTTTAAAAAAATTCCTAGAGAATTTATCCTAATTTCATTGAAAAATGTTTCAATTAGTTTGATGAAATCTTTGGAAAAGGAGGGAGAACTTTTCTAGGGAACCCTAGCATTTTCTTTCTAATTTCACTTGAAACAGTTACTCGTGGTATATATTACCAACAAAAAAGAGGACACTATATCGTATATAATAAAATTTCCAACTTGAAATTAGCAAACCACAACCGTGACGCAATTTGTCAAAGGAAAGAAGCTACCGATCACGAAGCGAAGCATCGATCGTGAAAGTATTAATTACGGGTGTGTAATGAACGTCTTCCTATAATTAATTTGATTCGCGCTTCACGGCAATTTTAACCGGTGGTGCGGCTCGAGTCGACGATTACGCGTGTTACAGATGACAAACGCCGGCCGATTACACCGGTCCTACACCCGACACCAAAAAAGGAACACGTTCGAAAGTGAAATGGCGCGCTGTTCGAACGATCTCGCGAGAGAACGAAAGCGTTTCGAAAGTTCTGCCTGTCGAGGACGACAGCCTCCAGTTTCTTCGGAATCGAACAGAAATCGAGAGGTCGCTGTTGTTTTCATTTCTGAGCCATGTCTTAAGGAAAATCGTAACACGTTCGAATTTCGTGAAATGTTAAAAATGGCGGACTCGATCTTACGAAAAAAACTTTTTATAGAGATAAATCTTTAAAATTAAAATTCGAGAGATGGAATGATGAAATTTTTTTCGGGGTAATGGATATTGAAAAATGTATCCGAATAATAAACGAATAAGTTTTGAAAGTTTTAGGATAACAGATATTAAAAATGACGGATTCGATCATTCTAGAATTTGATGATTGAAATAAAATTTAAATATTTTTGAGAAATTCGAGCTATTGAAATTATTGATACAATGAACGACGTTACAAGTTGGATCTACGAGTTCGTAATATCGAACAAAGAGTCGCATAAATTGAATCGAACATCTTAAAACAAAAGATCGAGTGTATGCGGGAGCCAAAGCTGTTTTCCGTGATAGAATACAAAACGTTTGACCGAACACGGTTGGCATATTGAATACCTAAACGTGCAGATCAAACTTTGCGCATCGATTAACGCATTGAAAATTATACGATTCTATTTAAAGAAACATACGTGATCTTTTATTTATAAAACAAAAAAAAAAAAAAAAATTAATTATATCGGATTACCTCGAAACCATTTGATCACGAGGCAAATGATTTACGAGTAATTTATAAATTAAAATTGGATATCCCGTTAAAATAATATCAATAATCGTACGATAATAATTTTATAAATAATAATATTAACAACACAACCATTTAACAATGGTTCAAAAAAAATTCACTCCTGACTTGTGTGTATCAAGAATCATAATCGCTCAATTAAAGATAAAAATCAGAAAATATCGAAGAAAAAGAGGTATGACATTTTTAAGTGACGCTAAACATAGAATTTAATCTCCCTCCTCCCCTCCCCCCATAAGATCTATCAACAGAGAAATCAACTTTTCTTTTCTTCATCAAACTTTTATCATCCGTTAATTGATCCAAATTAGGTTGAAATAATTACTTCGATCGAGCCAATTTAAATTCCAAGGTAACGTCTACCCTTTCGATCATTCTCCTCCATAACCGCAAAAACTCAAGTTTCTCCTAGGTGACTTGCACCTGTACCATTCTTCAGAGTTGCGCTCGCGCGTTCACAGCAACATCGCGCTCGCATCGCATACGAATGACAGGAATTAATATTCCAGCTGTGTGTAAGATATGATGTACAGAGACCCCGGGCATTATCCATGGTTCCGGTCATGAATACGCATGAGCGAGCATTTTTTCCTTCTTTTTCCCCCTCCCCCCCTCTCTTCCTTTTTCCATGAAAACCAAAGACAAACCTGCCACCAATCCTTTCGATCCTCTCGATTATTTTGCCTTCGAATCGGTGTAATCGTGGGAGTTTAATTACTTAGTGACAAGGAAGAATTGTCGATGGATCGAATCGTTTTTATCGGTTAGTGTTTCATTTGATAGCGAAGTATTTTTTTTTTTTTTTTTTTTTGATAAATCAATTGCAGTATTTTTGTGTATTTTTATTTGAAATGAATTTTATTTTTTTAAGATTAATTTATGATTCGTTCAAAAATAAAATAATCAGCACTTTTATCTAGCTAATGAAGATAATATTATATAATTTTTAATTATTAAATATCATTTAAAACAGATTGTTTCCAATTTTTACGAATATATCTTCAAATAATTTTGAAAATGAATTGTCTTTGAATTCCCTTGATCGTCGGCCGATTAAAAACGCATCTTTCCATAACTTGTGCTCGCGTCAAGCCACCGGTAAAGTATATACGCGACGAGCATCAAATAACAAGTAACAAGAAGTATGGGGGGTTGATTTATAACAGTATGATTTAAACTGACACGGCAAATTATCGAGTCGTCAAACGCAAAAATCCCATTTGTT